AGGGTTTTACCTCCATCAAGAGGGCCCGAACTTGGGTAAAACATCGTGTCCCCTGTCTCCTGTTACCATCCGCCTAGACGCATAGTTCGGGACCCCCTACCCGAGATCCGCCGGTTTTGACACCGACAGGTAGTATTTCACCTAAATTTATTGATTCGACACAAGGGAAGCCAAAAAATATGTATAAGCCTTAGCGTTTGAATTTTCAATTCAACCACACTTAAGAATCACTTCCTTGCATGAATTTATTAGTAGCTCGGTAATGTGATAGTAGTGATAGCAATGATAACAGTAGCAGTAATAGTAGTAGCAGTTTTGTGGCAAACAGAGCAGTAGTAGTAATAGTAACTTGAGTGAAAGCAATAGTATTAAAGCGTATGCATGGAGTAGCGATGTATATTTAGATGAGATTCAGTATGTAATAGCCACAACCTAGAGCAACACATAATAGCTCCAATTCATCAATCATATGTAGGCATGTATTCCATATATAGTCATATATGCTTGCAATAAGAACTTGCATAACATCTTTTGTCCTACCCTCCTGTGGCAGTGGGGTCCTAATGAAAACTAAGGGTTATTAAGGCACTCCTTTTAATAGAGAACCAGAACAAAGCATTAACACATAGTGAATACATGAACTCCTCAAGTTAAAGTCATCCCCGTCGATATCCCAATTCATGGTCACCTTGGGGATCTAAGGTTCAGGACGATAACAAGTGCATACAACTTGCAGGAAAGATTAACATCTCAAATATATTTATGAAAACAAAAATGTTCAGACCTAAAATCATGGCACTTGGGCCCTAGTGACAAGCATTAAGCATAGCAAAGTCATAGCAACATCAATCTCAGAACATAGTGGATACTAGGGTTAAACCCTAAAAAATTGACTCGATTACATAAGAAATCTCATCCATCTCCATCATTGTCCAGTATGCCTACCAAGAAATTACTCTCTAATGATGATGGGCATCATGGAATTGTTGATGGGGAGAGGTTGGTGATGACGAGAGCGATGAATCCCTCTCTCTGGAGCCTCAAATGGACTCCAGATTAGGGCTCCATACGAAGAACATGAGGTGGCAGTGGCTCCGTATAATAAACCATGATGAAACTTTCCCTTTGTTTTTTTCTCAGTAAGACAGAAAATATAGGCTTGGAATTAGGTCATTCGGAGGTTGGTAGGACCCACAAGCCACCATGGCGTGCCCGGGGGGTAGGCATGCCCCCTGGCTTATGGCATATTGGTGTCTCCCCTCTCGTACTTTGGTGCTCCAGTATTTTTTATGTATTCCATAAAAACCTCTACAAAGTTTCGTCCAATTTTGAGAACTTCTATTTCTACATAGAAATAACACCAAGGTAGTTCTGCTGAAAAAAGTGTCAGTCCGGGTTAGTCTCATTCAAATCATGCAAATTAGAGTCCAAAACAAGAGCAAAGTGTTTGAAAAGTTAGATATGATGGAAATGTATCAAGTTGCTTAAGAGCATCTACAACCGTGGATACCTAACCCGAGCCCCTATATGCGCCCAGACGCGTCTGCCGACAATGATTGGATAGGCATCAAAGTTTTGCATTTACAACCATGGTCCCTGTTTTAAAACACCGAATCCATGCAAACTCATGCATGTCGGTCATTTTGGACAAACATAGCTTTGGTGCACACAAATACAAATAGTTCATACTTAATAGTACATGATTCAAACATTGTTCAAATGTAAATATTGTTCATAGTGCATAATTGATATATTAGAGGCAAAGTTTACAGATTCTAGTGTGGACCCACATATGCTCCACAACATCATCTAGAAGTTGCATATGAACATGTTGATCTCATAGTTGTTGATGCATCTCCAGAAAGTTGGCAATGCTCTCTACCTCTTCTTCCGGGAGGCAGACCTGAACAACGGACTTCTCGAAATCATGCTTGTGCGCTGCCCATTCCCCCTCATCCTCAACGATCATGTTGTACAAGATTACACAACATTCATGACCTACAAAAGTGTCTCCGGTTCCCACATCATCATAGCTCGACGAACAATACCCCAACGAGCTTAGAGCACTCCAAACGCCCTCTCCACATCCTTCCTCGCTACCTCTTACGTTGTTGCAAAGCGGATTTGTTAGTTGCCTTGGAGATCAGACAAGGTCTTCACAAATGCCGCCCATTGAGAATATATACCATCGGCAAGGTAGTACCCCATGGTGTAGTTGTGTCCGTTGATGGTATAGTTGCACGGTAAGCTTCCCCATCATAAAGTCTCTTGAACAAAGGAGAACTGAACAAAGGAGAACATTGGAGCACATTGATGTCAATGCAAGCACCTGGCGTGCCAAAGAAAGCATGCCAAATATGAATTCGTTAAGATCATTGTTTCCATAGCCATAATTCCACGTCGAATACACATTGGTGACCTAGAAGTAATGACCGAAAAAAATCAAAAACCGACTCAGACATTCATGGAATACATAGAGTGTGGGGTGAAAATATGGGGGAGTCTGACATACCGGGACGCCGTCCGGCGGCGGCCTTGTTGGCGGGGGTGTGCGTTGGGGCGTCCGGTGGCGAAGCCTTGAGTTGGGGATGGTGGCGGAGCACCGATACCGGCGGAAGTCCGGTGGCAGCGGAGCACCAATACTGGCGGAAGTCCGGTGGTGGCAGTGTGGAGGAGGGACAGAGAATAGGAGAGTGTTGCTCGGGCAAGGAGAGGGAAGGCGGATATGACCGAATTGGCGCGGGCCCCAGTGGTCAGTCCTACGTGTCCGGGCGCACCAAGGCGTCTCATATTGGCCCAAGATTTGGGCTGGGTATGGGAAGTGTCAGTCGGTCTGGGCGTTTGGGCCGGATATGGGGAGGCTGGTTGGGTGGCCTTTTTGCATCCGGATAGCCCGTCCGGGCGATTGGGGCGAGTATGAGGGTTCGGTTGTAGATGTTAAGGCTAAAAGAAAAATTACAGTCATCTTATTTCCATGAACTCCGGGAGAAGAAATAAAAGTGCATTGTTTCTCCAATTATATTTTAGTGTTGATGACAATAGGGTTAATGAGGATTAATGTCCATTATCAAGTTTATTTCAATAATTGGCCTCTCGGTGAACGTTGCGGACATGAGTGCTCCCTGCCCTCCTAAATCAAATATGAAAAGGGTGTTGGTTCTTCAAGACTCGGAGATTTTTTG